GGGTGGACCCACTTTACGCGTGAATTCAAATAATGTGGACCCATTTGCTTAAAAGTTGTCCCATTTTATGCAAAAATATGAATAATCTGGACCCATTTTCTTAATATTTTATCCATTTTACGCAAAATATGAGAAATCTGGACCATTTTTCTAAAAAATTGACCCATTTTACTCAAAATTATGAGAGAACTGTGGACCCATTCTTTGTGGAACCAATAGAAAAATTGTGTGGGACTGTCCCAACTATCCCAATAGCTGGCTACGGCATTGCTCACTAGTAGTAGGCCTATAGGGCATCGGTGGTTCCAAATGACGCTGCTGGAGTCAAGCAATTAATGCATCCTTACCGTCATCGCAATCCTTTTTACCAAAAAACTCTCACGTCTTATAACCAGAGACGTTTGGAGAAGAAAAATCGTTGCAGAACAGAAATTAAATATTTGTGTTAATGAATGCTGCGCTCTTAACGTGGTAAAGATGACCAAGGTACAATGTAGGCCTATTATGTTTTTACTGGTTAAATCGTTTATTTTTCTGTTATATGCTTTCTTGTATTCTTAATTTTAATTCGTATTCCTAAAGATGGACTTAGCATACAAATATTTGAATTGATAACTGTGTGCCTGGGATGGCGTTCTCACCTTTTAGTATTTTATTGTTTCTTCGGGTACGATTTGGTTATGCCGAATGACGAAGAAAGAGTTCGTATTTGTTATTTGCATGCCTATTTGTAAAATGTGATAGAATTATGACGAATATTTAAAATTAAAATTTTGAAACATAGGGCCTATTGATGAGGCTTTTAATCTCAATTATAGCTTATGCTGTACTGCCGGTAAGCGATGCCCACAGTATCAAACTTGAAATCATGGTTGTATGATCTAAATGGAGATACTATTATATATATTTTGTAATCGATTTGGAAGCACATGCTGATATTTCGCAACTTATAGGAGGACTGGCTTTTCGTAACCCGAACTTTTTATAACCCGGACATTTCGAAACCGAAATATCTGGGGTACGATATGGCCAACCTAGGAAATGTCGACACTCTGCATAATTATACACCCACAGCGAAACCAGGCAAATGATCTTTTTTACATAACTTTAGGCCTAATTCGGATTTTGAATAGTATGATTATCTGCTATATAGTCCATAATTGTAAGCCACACTGTATTTTAACACAATCCATGATTAAAATTTGAATTTTCGTTGTAAAACGCACACAAACATGCCTTCGCATTCTACAATCCCGTCTGGGTTGATAATTACGTGACGAGCATTAAAGACCTACACTTGAGTCGTATGTCGTGCTGTTTTAAATTTCGACACGAACTAAAAAATGTTTTAACTCCCTAAATTCAGCGTGCAAAAGAGGCTACAATCGTCCTTGGAGTCAGCGTTTACAGCACGAGGTGAAATGATTATTAACTTTCTAACCTTTCCGTATAACGCATGTTGGTCTCCGATGGGTAACTAACCTTGTATCTATAGAGCATCTTCAATAACCATTCTTCATATCGCTGCAGTATTCATTTACACAAACATTTTTTCTGTTCTGAAAACATATATCTTCTCCGAGCGTTTATGAAGATCAGACGTGCGAGTTATAGGCAATATATTTAACAATGAATATTTTTGTTCAATTCCGCCAGCGAAACTTGTCATTTGAGAACATCGATACTCTGATCAGTGTGTTATATGTTGTGTAGTATTTATGGTATGAAGCGTCCAGAATTGTTCGTGTCTGGTGTCTTAAAGAGGCTCTCTACCTGATCGAAGCATGTAAAGTAAAACCGACATATAAATATGTTAATAAAATGGTAACAAAACAAAACTTGACATTTAACACAATGAATGCTCAATGAAATTACTCCGTTGCATTTTCCATCTTCATCCTGTATTCTAAATTCGACATAGTGGCTAAGTATTTTTAAGCAACCTATAAATTCTATTGCACAGTAGTGCTGTGGTAGTACTGGTTCCTATTACTACTAGGACGCAACGCAACAACGCAGACACAAAGCAAAGGTTTTTGCGTCTTCCAAGTTCTCATCTCTTCTATAAATAATAGCTACTGTAAATAGTGGAGATCAGTGTTTCGAACTTAAACTTGACAGCGCAACGCAACACCGACGCTGTCAACTTGTGCGTTGTTTGCGGATCGCATTTTGCGTTTTTTTTTTACACAAGTTTTACACAGCAGTGTTCACTTTAGCTCTCTTACTGCAATATTGTACTGTAGAAGGAATTTTCTATGTAAATAATTTTATTATATTGGCCTAAATTTATGCAAATATAGGTTTAAATACCATGCATTTAATGTACTGATATAGGCCGCTGTTGTTATTATAGAACCGGCCATGTCTGTTTAACGAGTGCTAGATAAAGTTATGTATATATTGATATTGAATCAAATATTCACTTGACCTGGTTTGACCTTGTGACCCGATATTAAACTGTCGGCGAATGCTTTTGAGGTTTTAAATCCAAATTTAGTAAAATGCTACTTTCATTTTATTTCATGTTTATCTGACTGGAGTACTAACACAGCATTTCACACCTATGCTGTGTAAAAGACGCTTGGTTAAACGCTAAGCATAATATTGTTAACTTTAATAATATGGAACGCCAAAAATAAACTTGTAAGCACAGGTGATTTTCAGTCTCTTTGGCGTTTCATTTGTGGAGATTTCGCATCAGATATCCGTATGTAATTTCATGATTCAACACGTAGAAAGCTTACTGGGCCGGTCTACTGATAACTGAGTAGAGAAGTTGCAACATACATAGTGCATTATTCATTATTACAGTATATATACACTTGTGGTCTTAATGTTGATTAAATTTAGAAAACCGAACAAAACCACATCATGCCACCGGTAGGCTTACGGCTCGTAAGCCGTAAGCCTACCGGTCAATAGGATAATAGGCTAAGCAGAATCGAATTTGCGTTAGCACAAGTTCAGAATTGGTTATATTAGTAGGTGTACTCTTAATTGCGCATGCTTTTGCTATACTGTACAAAGATATAGCATCAGGTATCCATGTTTGTAATTTCATTATTCGACACGTTTCTTGTGATTGACGAGAACGTGGCATGTTAAAAAGATGGACGTTAGTATGGACTTCATGCTCTTTATGTCCGCTCATATATGAAACAGTAAAAAGTTGTGCTGAGATCAGCCTGGCAATATTATTACAGACTTGACCTTTGGATAGTTATGTCTTGTATTCCACTAGCTGCGGAATAAAGAACTGTAAAATCGTTGGATGCAAATGTTCGAACGTTCTCATTTACAGGCCTATTAAGATGAGAAACTTGTATGGCAGAGCAGGTTTACGAGACAGAAAAACAAGGCTACCGACTAACTTTGTAAAATAAAAGCACTACTACTAAACATAATTCCAAGAAAACAAAGTAAATGGTTAGGCTATACTATCCTGAGATGGCAGGTTAGTCTGCTGCGAGACACGATTCAAATGTGAATAATAGGCAATCGAGAAGAAGAGGAAAGCAGATTCAGTATTGGATTATTCCCAGAAGGAGGGCGGTAGTTAAACTTATGACCAACTGACATGACGTCAGTAATTCGAGATCTGCTGCCAAAGCAGCACGGGTCTATGTGATAATACGAAATATGAATTTGATGAATAAGATTGTAGGCCTACAATATATCTAATTCATATTTCAGAAACTATGATTTATCATAAAGCAACAACTCTGTATGCATAATACTATAGAAATACCGTACGTCATACAGAAAAGGCCTAGCGTGGGTAAAATTACTGTTCATTTGATGGGATCTCCCATCTTTAAAGGCCTAACTGTATGGGAGGCCTACTACTAGTTGTAGGCCTAGTATATTTTACGATGTATTTAACAGCATTACGTTAGCGATATCAATCGTTGATAGGTCTATTATCGATCTGTACTTTTAGCTCTAAATTGAAACACATTTCCCATAATGTCTCTCTTATACTAGACCGGTCCATTACCTTTTCCATGAATTGACTATCCGTTGACCATCGCCACTGGGTCCGAGAATATTTGTTGCAGATAGTCTTCAGTGGGCCTAGATTCCTTACATGAATTCAACCGATACGAGAACGTGTGTTTTTACTTAATATCGATCGTTTAATTGCTCTCAGGCGATAGAAGTGACGTACCGTCGGCAACACTCGACGACATTATTTCGTGTAGGCCTATTGAGTATAATTATGTATCCGTGATTGTAGACATCGGGTATGAGTTTGTCTACAATTATTGTGTCGCATGTCGTAATCGACTACATAAGTATTTTATACGATAGGCCTACATGTAGGCCTAGCCTAATGCTGGATTTCCATAACATCGCTACACCGTCGTTGTCCGTCTCTACCGTGCATTGTTTTCAATGCAATCGCTCTCACTGCGAGCTTTCCCCGACGCAATTGGGAAGGCACCCAATTTGATCGAGTAATCAGCGTCGCCGTCAGCTGTTTTGCGATAGTGTGTAGCGATTTTATGGAAATACAGCTTGACTTACAGTAAATGTATCATGGTTCATCGACGGATTAAGCACAACTTTCGATTGGAGTTATGATCCATTGCAACTAAAAAAGAAACCTTTTGTGGTGGGTTTATTCAGCTCAGGCAACCGCTAAATACTCGGAAGCATGACCATGTAATTCTGTTTGTAATTTTAACAGCATTGAAATACGTTTGATGCAAGTTTTTTGCTTTTAGCGTGATTACCGGTATATCAATGGGACAATAATCCACCTCTAGATACCGTACACTGTATTTCCATTAATAATGGACTTAAGCTTCATAATATAGTTATTTTTTACACCGCTCTACTTAAGGCCTACTTGCTATTTGTAAAAGAATGAAACTGTGCCCACAGAGTATATACTCCAACAGAGTGAAATAGAACAAATAAATTTGGAATTTTATTCTATCCAACGTAAATCGTAGTGTACCGTATTTTACTAATGTCTACTCTTTTTATTTCAGTCTGTTGGAGTGAGCCCATAGGCCCTCAAGTCGTTCTTCTTATCACTCTTTGTATTCAGAGAGTTGTGTGGTGAGTGTTTTTTTTTTTTTTTTTTTTTTTTTTTTTTTTTTTTTTTTTTTTTTTTTATTTTAAGTTTAAAAAAAATCTGCGAGAATGTTTAAATTGTGAAAGGAATTGGAACGACTTTATTTTATTAAGTGTATCCAAAAACTTCATTATAAATACATTGTAAATCAAATTGTATTCGAAATTGCAGAATTTACTCTTTTCTGTATCAAACACTCTTCGGTTCGTGTTTTGATAGACCTAGGCCTACATTATCCGATGTCTTCTTCCTTTATCGTCGCGTTAAATTGACAGAGAAGCACGCGATTCGGAGTACATGATGTAGATCTATAGTACAGTGTATTTTGAAAACTGTAATAAGACCAGCAGTTAAATAATTCGCATGCGCGCCTGTTTGCTAAACTATTATTCAAACTTATGCATGTCCGGGCTTTGTTGATGTAGGCATAATCACGAGACTGAAATGGTATACCAGTATTTATAATGACGATTAATATTAGTCAGGCTTGTGGCGCGTTTGCGTTACTGTATACTTTGTAATTTGTTGTATTTAACGATCAAGTAGTGAATTCTGATACCAACATCTTCAATAAAGGTATTATAGGCCTAGTTATTAAAAATATCTCTTGATCAAAATATTTGTCAGGAGGATGCATTTATTTTGATTTAGCATTTATTCTATAGTCTATGCCCTAAGTAGAAATTCATAATTATTCACTTCTTAAATGCGCAATTTTAATAAACCTATTCCAAATAAACAGGGTAAGGCGGTTTGTGTAGTATTGTACAAGACCAGACAAGACTTCAAATTACCCTACAGCAGAAAGCCAATTTCTAAACTGTTGCTATTTTATATTGAATATAATAATATAGGCCTACAAAATCACCTGTACAGGAATTTCTTTATTTACTCATACTATATATCAGCATTTTAAATTAGTAACACTTCTGTACCAGCGATTGGCGGAAGAAAAAGATATCATGTCAACAATCATCGATAACCACGTGCTTAGTATAAAGCATCCTGTTCCATTTGAATTAACTCTTTCTTAATCGTCTCATTGATTCCAAATCGGATACAAACAATGTCATTAATTAACTGTGTCGCATGAGCTGCTTATTTTGAACAATAATAACACAGGCTACCATAATGACTGTTGCTGCTACTACGGACCCGCATTATGCAAGAATTAAGAAGGCCTAGCGCAGGCCTAGCATTTCAATTGGTCATCGTGATGATGTATTTGAACCGGCATTCATCATTTTGAAAATTAAACATCCTGAATTTTATTTTACATGCTGTGACACAGCATGTGCCTTCAGTAGGTGTGCGTACAATTTACGCACCAGTTTGAGGTATTCACGCAATAAAAGTAGATAATAATATAGGATTTAAAAATATAATTAGACCTAGGCCTATATCATTTTCTGAATTCATTTTAGGGATGGGGCATAGAAACTATGCCAACCTTATATTAACAGGTGGCAGGACTCCCGAACTGTCAGTCTGAAACAATATTTTAAAATTCTCCAAGTGGTTCACCCCGTTTCAACGAGCTTCGTGTCACCTATGATCTTTAGATATCTCGTAGTAATAACAATCGAACGACACAAGGCAGATGAATAAATTGTTGCGTGATCTGTTCCCGCTTACACCTTGAATCACCTGTACGCCATTTCATTCTTTTTCGTTTTACGTACAATACGTTTCCGAATGTTACTGTAAAGAGAATTGCCAATGGATATACATTTAGGCCTAAACGATGTTGTTCAGATCTGGAAACCTGCAACATAAAAGAAAAAATGATGAACATATTTAATTTAAGAAATGAGATTGAACATTTATCTCCAGAAAAGGTAACTGCAGTACAGTAGATTTCTACAGTAATATAAACGCAGTGACTCGCTTTCATAGCACAGTCTTCATTAGGTAGGCGTTTCTATTGAACAAGACTAGGAAACACTCTGTTATTAATTTCGGTATATCACCGTGTCATTTGAACTCTGTCTGCGTTTAGTCCCACAGTGCTAGGCTTCCAGAACCCTCGTTGCTCTGCACAGTCCATGCGTTTGTATAGAGCAAACTCTTGGGACGCGGGAATTTACGGGGGTTTCTTTACGGAGACCATCACAGTCATTAAATCACGTTTATTTATTTATTACAAAATATGTTTCCAATAATTTAAGATTACTCGTAACGATAACGCATATTGATGTAGTTATTAGCCGGAATGTTTGATTCAGCGCAGTTCCTGATTCTATCTGAATTACCTTATTAGAGCAATACTTGTATCATATGTGTAGTGACACGACATTTATCACCCGAGTCTTGCCCGCTTTTGACATGTTTTGATAACAAGCGCAGCCTAAGGTATTGTTATACTATAGGCCTATCTTATTGATTCATATTTCTCCTTGTTTCAAATGTGTGTGTTTCTGAAACCCATTGTTGCGTTATGTATGACAAAATGGCACCTAAACACATAACATAAACGTAACAAAGGCTTTATAGGAAAATCACTCTTTTTTGCAAACCTTATGAATAATGAAACCTGTAAATAGTAATTAGCGCATCAATAGTGAACCTTATTAACAGCAAACCGAAATATTAATAGCACATCCACCGTACAATATAGTGAACCTAAACAGCGTTATAGCAACGTAAATGGACCGTTAAAATCATGTACTCCGGAGCTGCTAAATAAATTGTGTAGAAAGTAAACAAACTGACCGATGTACAAAATGCATTATCGTAAAGGGAATGTGGGGAATAATGTACAGTCTATATAGCTGAAGTGACTTAACGATGCACACCCATATTGTATTGAAGAACAGTCTATAATAGTACAACATGGTAGCCCTATGACACATTTAATTAAAGTATGGGATTCTTGTACGTAAATAATAATCAACGTTAAAGGCCAAATGTAATTAAGTACTAGTCTTACGTCCCCTCCCTCATCGAATTTCGGATCCTCATGACAAAAGTTACTGTTTTTAAAAACCAATAATATCTCCATAAAAATGAAAGTAATGACGATCTGAAAGATTGTTGTCAAAGTATAATAACAGGTGTTAACACAAATGGCAGAGTACATTACGAAGATACATTTTACTTTGTTTATACAAAATAATTTTTTTACTGTAATCCCAGACGTAAAACTAACAATAAATTTAAATTGCCTATTATGCAACATCTAGAGGACAATTTTAGTAGTGGTTCTCGTCTCTAAAAGTTTACCTCCCAGTTTTTACTTCTAAGAGGAAAAACCATAAAATCCTACAAAATTTTACATTATCAAGAAAATCAATGTAGGCCTATGCATGTATAGGCCCCTATGTCTATTTTAAAGATGTATTTTCCCTTGAAATTAACTTGTAACACACTTCAATGGAGCATAGATCTCAGTGTGATAAAAGAGTTTACCTTGATTTTTATACCGGGTAATAAAACAAAATGAGGAAGTTTTTTTCAAAATTTTATGTGTTTTTAGACATTTTCTGGGGACAACATATTTAAGGATAGGTACGGTATAGGCTTAGGTAAACATTGTGTGACTAATAGGGCGCCGTCATACTGTATATCAGTTTTTAAATTCATCGATGTGCTGTTTCACCACAGATACTTTGTTTCAATGTTCTTATTTTTTCCGATTTCAGGTTTAAAAAGTACTTATTTTGTTCTTATTTTACACACTTTTCAATGACAAAAAATTATTATTATACAGCAGTATATTACTGCCTCAGGGTTCTTTTAAATTGTGTTCTTATAAAAAGAAATATGTGTATTATACCATAGCAAATCGTACCTGCACGGGTTGATATCCGGCGCGATTTCATGGTTCATCGTATCACAAACCCTATGATCGACCATCGATAACCAGTGTGACCTGCACGGGTTGATATCCGGCGCGATTTCATGGTTCATCGTATCACAAACCCTATGATCGACCACTAAATAACCAGTGTGACCTGCACGGGTTGATATCCGGCGCGATTTCATGGTTCATCGTATCACAAACCCTATGATCGACCATCGATAACCAGTGTGACCTTCTCGCGGCTTATTTTGAATGGACATTACAGCTATTCCTTCCGTTTCGACTTATTTAAATATTAAAATAATTTAGGAACAGCTATTATACACAGAGTTTAGGGTGAACCACAAACTATGCAGAGGAGAAAATGGGAAGTTGGAATTTGTTATAAAAACGGTAAATACATCACGACGTTCGCGAGTAATACAGATATTCCCATCATCGCAGAAGCGAGATGATTTTTACATCTTGTAAAAGCTTGCTTGACCCGCTGTATAGCACACTTTCTGTTTTTAAATCAGATCAGAGTTCCATTTGTTCGTTTAACTGAATAAGTACGAGTCTGGCCATCGTGTCATTGAAAGCTTACCCTACATGCTGGATATTTCGTACCCCTCTTTCTATCTCAAGTAATACGGTATGATTTATCACCCCACCACACCCCCCTCCTCACAGACCAGATACTGGATCTCTCTTAGTGTAAAGGAGTGAATTTCACTCAAAAAGAGTGCCTACAGTGATTAATGGCCGAGCGGTTGGCAGGGGCGCCGCAAGCTATAGCCATAATATCGGCGGGTTCTGGTGGTAGAACAAGTCTTCTCGGATAAGGACTATAAACCGTAGGCCCAGTGTATACAATGGCTCGTGTGCACTATAAAGAACCCTGTACATCCTTCGAGACGAGTAGGGGGATACCCCGGTGTACTGGAACAGACAGCCCCTGTGGTGGACGACGAGAGTTGCTGGTACCGGGTTACCGGGTAGCACAGACACGAAGGGGCCCTTAGGGGCGAAGGAAGTCATTGATCGAGTTTCTAGTCCACATTTCAAGCGCCATGAGCATCTTACATTAGATGGATTTGTGCGCTATATAAAACTACTCTATTATTATTATTCCAATTTCACTCTTTCTCGACTTAAATGAGTGACTATTGTCTTAAAATTGTGAAAAATTAGTAAAATTCA